ATCTCCGCCGCCTGCTGCTGCCACCGCGCCCCGAGGAAGACGCTGCGCCGCCGCCCGATCTTGGATCTCGCGACCGTTGTCCCGGGAGGGAGAAGGAGGAACACCCTGTCGTTGACCGCGTTGGCAGGGCTTAGCCCGCCAGCACGTCGGGGCGGCAACGAGGGGAGGAGGACCACAGGCTAAAGCTAGCCCCCCCCCCCTCCGGCACTCGCGGGAGAGAAGGGAGGGGGTTTCTCCATTTAGTTCAGTTCGAACTAACGTCCTATTTTAGCGGGACTTTTGGGGACGCCCAATTACATCCCTACCCACACAGAGTGATGGAACTGCGTGTGTAGCAAAATCTTTTTAAACCCTTGATAAAGGGAATTGCTCAGCATTGGTTTTTGTTCATGTTTTGAATGAGAGACGGACATCACCTAAGAAGAGTGAATCAATAACTACATTCCTCTCTTACCCCTTTCCACGGCGTAAGCTTTTGTCTCTCCCTCGGTCTGTGAGGCGGCGACACAACGACACACGGCTTAGAACACCCTGTATTGCATTTTACATTGGGCTGGACAACATCTACGCCAATTCGCCTCGGGGAGTATGTAGTGATCATGACTTTTGTAGCCAGCTGGCTCTTAAGATTAGCCACAATGGAAGTAACTTCGGTAGTAACATCGAGTCCAACTCAGCAAATTTTCTTATATGGCAATGAGTTAATGAGGAGAGATGTAGTACTAGTAACTTAGCTAGTTACTCCCTCCTTTCCGGTTTATAGGGCTTATCTCAAAATTTTAGTTTTTCCATTTTATAAGGCTCAATTTGGTTGTTTCTCATCACATGTTCAGATTTCAAGGTGCATTAAATCATTGCATGCAAGTATTAAGAGAAAATTGACCAATGCATGTAATTTATGCATGCATGCATTGTAATTAATGCATTAGTAAACATACTTTTTTGAGGAAAACAAGAGCATTAATTGGGTGCTTTTGCAAACTACAAAAAGTATTCCACCACTCACCATCTACCTTGGTTGATGAGATTTTTGAATTGAGCCTTATAAACCGGAAAGGAGGGAGTACTATAACATCACTTGTCCCAATGCAATATGAGTCTATAACCTAATAAATGAAGCTTTGCATGTTACCACACTTATGTTACTACCCACTATTGATGTAGTAACATCGTCTCGGGATATGTGTATGTTACTAGTAGTATATGTTACTCTCCATTGTGACTAGTCTAAGCATGCAATGCACAGGTCAACAAGCGGATTGTCTGAATTTGTTTCTCCCTCCGTCTCATAATGTAACATGTTTTTTGACACCATACTAGTATTAAAAAAGGTCTTACACTATAGAACCGAGAGTAGATCCTACTCGGAATATATTCGGAAAAAAAAGGGAGATCCTACTCAGAGTAGCTACATGCATGCATACTTTGTTGTTTATCCGCGTGACACGGATATTCTCCTACCTTGGCTTGGAATCACGGAAACTAATATCCAAGGGAGATGCGAACCAACCTGTGGTTGGTTGGATGGTTAGAGAGACTATGCTATCCCCAGCCCATCAGGGTTCAAATCCTGGTGCTCGCATTTATTTCTGGATTTATTTTAGGATTTTCGGCGATGCACATTCAGTGGGAGGAGACGTTCCCGTCGATGACGGGGCGCCTACGGTGACTTCGTAAATCTCAAGATGATATGCCGGCTCAGTCTTTCGGAGGTACTCATAGGGGTAGGGTGTGCGTGTGTGCGTTCATAGGGGTGAGTGTATGCGTGTGTATATGAGCGCCTGTGTCTGTACTGATGTTCAAAAAAAATCCAAGGAAGATCTTTGTTATTTCGTTGCCAAATCTTGCAACTTCCATTTAAAGGATTGAAATCATATGAGTTTTCATGTGTACTAGTTTGCATGCAGTTTAAAATAAAATTACCATTGAGTTTTCCTAACTAAGTTATCGAGGCCCCGCTTGGAAGAACGATACTCCCTCCGTAATATATATGTATCTAGACAAATTTAAGACAACAATTGTAAGACATGTGTAATAGTTATTTTACACCCGTAACCTCTTCCTCCCGTTTTCTGAAGATGGAATAAAGGTCTTCCCGCATAGCCCCCGTTTTCGGTGATGCGTCTAGCATCATCGGTGGGCGAGTGGATGTGTGTCTCCGGCAGATCTATCTTTGGTGGATTTGCTCAGATCTGTTCGTCGTTCGTCTTTGTTCGTGTGTTTTCAAGTTTGATCCTTTTGATCTACACTTTTTATCTGCGGCAGTTGCTGTTCTGGTGTGTTGGTTCTATGGGGCCTTAACACGGCGACTTCCTAACTGTCTACTACAACAAGGTTTGTCCGGCTCTGGCAAGGGAGGGGCGATGACAGCGGTGCATCTTCGGCTCGCTTCAGTGCTTGTAGTCGTCGTTAGGACGGATCTAAATGTAATTTTTATTATTTTTAATGTTTGTTGCTACCCTAATAGAAGATGAATAGATTGAAAAGTTTTCCAAAAAAGCAAAAAAAAAGCAAACCTCTTCCGCCCGTATTAAACTGGGTGCACGTAAAATCCGGGCGAAAAGAGAACGAAGCATGGGAGATGTGTATTATTTTTCTAGGTGGAAGGCACAAAACGGCATGTTTTTCAAGATCTAAACAACAAATCAATCGAGATGCACGTAGGGCGTGTTTGGTTGCCCGCATCTAGCCTAACCAGGCCCGCGCAGGAAGGAAGAGGCCCGTTTGGTTGCCTGGTTTCATTGTCGGGCCTGCATCGCACACTTTTTAAAGCAGCCTAGAGCCTGGCTCGCTGGAAACGCTCGATTCGGCAGTTTCTCGCAAGCCAGGCCGAGCTGAACGCAAGAGAGCGGGCCCTTGCACGAGTGGAGAAGTGAGAAAGGTGATTACCTGAGGTCTTCTTCAACCTGTGGTAAGCTCCTATCTAATCTACTCCCTCTGATCTACACAACGGTGCTTCGATTCGAGGTAAGCTCTACACGAAAAAGATGCACCTCAATGCTACAGTTCCATTCAGGCGATTGGTTCGTAGTTTCCTCGACCGTAAGTTCTTAATTTCATCTTCCCGCTTGGAGCTATTTTGGACGAATTTTGTCAGATTCGTCGCGCACAATCGATCATTTGAAATTTTCATTGACCAGCAGCCTAATCTCGCAGTTCCTCACAACATTCGTGTTGTAAGGTTTTTTGTTTCGACAATCGTACCTTCATCTTTCTTTGAACAACAATCTATTGCACTAACACCGCCATGTCGAGCTCCTCTGTCCTCTGCTCATAGCCCTCATATTCGTCCCTCTCGACGTCGAAGCCCTTCCCCTTGATCTCCTTGCCCATGTCCTACTACACTAGAGTCGTTTCTGGTGCCGCTCATCTTGGCCTACTCTCTGTCGTCCTCCTACTGCACTGACGCTGCAATGGCACGCACTCTACTTTCTTGTGTCCTCTGCCTTCGTGCACACTGCAGTTCGCCGCACCGCCGACGGGGTCGATCAACTTGGCCTCTTCTCTCTCACCCTACTACACTGGAGTCGTTTACGGCGTCGATCATCTTGGCCTCCTCTCTCGTTCACTACACTGGCGATACCATGGCGCGAGCACTGCATTTTCCTCCTTTGTCGACCGTCTTTACGCGAGCACCGCAACTAGTTCGCCGACGGGGTCGCTCGTCCACGACTCCATGCTCGTCATGTCGGACACGGCGCCACGGCCACTATCCACCTCAGTCGCCACAGTTCGGCACACACTGCATTTCTTCTCCCCCTTCCTCTGCTAGCTCTTAACCCTGTGTGCTAAGTGCAAGTGCTAGCTCTTAATCATACCCTATGCGGGCAACCAAACAGCGTGTAGTTGTATGCATCGAGACAATGCAGGCAACCAAACAACGTGTCAAAGTTGATCCCCTAATGCAGGAAGTCCATATGCAGGCAACCAAACAACTTGCAGATGTCGCATATGAGGCTGTTTTTTTAAAGCCAGACTGGGTTGAGATGTGTATGCAATGCAGTTACTGTTCACTACTACAACGAAATACGCCCGTAATAAATTTTCCGCCTGGATTTATCCTCGAAGAAAAACCACCTGGATGAAAACCGCCTGTAATCGTCCATGAAACAACGATCAAATCGCGCCCTGAGCCTTTTTGTGATACAAGCAAAGAACTTCTACGAGAACAAACACGTGGTCCAATAGTTAGGAGGGATGCAAATGCCATGATATAAATTCTTATGTTTTTCACGTTCATGATCTTTTAGTCCTGCAATCAAAGAGGCAAAGTAGCCCTTAAGCTTGCGAATCAAAGCTAATCATCCCAAGGATTTGACCCAAACGCGGTGCTCCTCCAGTGGCAGGAGAAAATGGTGGGGCATGTAAGCAACCTTCAATGGACGGTTGACAAAGCAAATGATAGCTCAGACGGTTGACGAGTGGGCATTATTGCACAGCTTTTAGCTCCAGTCACCAGTGCGACGCGTCAATAATGCCCGTTAGTGGCGTTCTTTACACCTGACACATTCCTTTCATGACCCTGTACTGTACTGAGGGCCTCGCAGAGCTGACTGCATAAAGAGGGTCAAGTTGACCTGAGAAGAGTGCTTTAGCGATCCGTGGATCAATGGCGGTCTACATCTCTTTCTCATGATCTGTAGCAGATCGGATCTACTACCAATAGCACGGAAAGTCCACAGCCAATCTTCGTCAAAACTCTGTACAAGCACATCACATGAGGCACAATAATGGCCTCAATAATATTCGGTGGGGTACATTGACGGACTCTATCCCTGCTACTGTTACAACTTACAATGGATGATTATAGCCACGTATAGTAGTACAAAGGAGGAGATAGTATGAAGAAATGTAAATAATTTTTTGAAGTGAAGAGGCAGAAGAATTTATTCTCTCAAAAAGAATATCAGTTTTACCAAGATGTAAAAAGACAAACATGTTTCTCCAATTAGAACATCTTATTTGCAGCGTAGCCATGTCAATGACTGGAGGTGTGTCAACTATGAACTTGATTCTGCAACAGCACCTGATTTTGCTCGGTCATCTTCGATCATGGCTTTGATGTAGAATTCGCCTGCTTTGTAGGAGGACCGAACCATCGGACCAGATGCAACATAACGAAATCCCTGCCATTTAAAACCATGACATTTGTCCGCAATTCAAGCAATAAGTACGATGCAGAGTAGGAGCACTGATACAGATTAGCATTGAAAAGCAAGAAATATTCCAGGGAACCAAAAAGGATAATATTAGCATTGATACAGATTATTATATGATAAAGCAAGTTCCTAGAACTTCACTTGTCTAGCACAAGAAATCATGGTGGGTTACTAAACGGCAGAAGTGACAAGGGCACGCTATCCAGATTGATTTATTCTTTGTGGATCTCGTTAACCAATAAAAGTACTCCCTCCGTCCCAAAATAAGTGTCAACTTTAGTACAACTTTACCGATGGAGTACTAGACAATGCATTGTGGCTGAGTAAAGTGATTTATTGTGTGTTGTAAAATTAAGATCGATGGTTAATGTTACATTTGCCACAAATAATATGTATTATAGCAAATCATGGTTGATAATAGATCTTTGCGTGATCGTAAATCGCAAGAACTCAAAGTACAAGATGTGGATGGAGCATACCATTTCAACACCAAGGGCGCGGTAGTTCTCGAAGGCTTCAGGTGTAATATACTCAGACACTGGCATATGTCGCTTTGACGGCCTCATGTACTGACCAAATGTAATGACATCAACACCAGCAGCTCGCACCTTTTCCATTGTGCTGATAACCTGATCGGGAGTCTCCCCACAACCCAGCATGACTGATGTCTTTGTGAGGGTGCCAGGAGGGGCATACTCCTTCGCCATTTTCAGAACATCCATTGATTGCTTAAAATTTGCACGGTGGTCTCGCACACTTCTTTGAAGCTCTTCCACCGTTTCAATATTGTGTGCAAAAACATGCAACCCGGAAGTTGCTACCTTTTCTACACAACTTCGATCTCCTTGGAAATCAGGCACTGTAAAATTATTTGTGTAAGGGCACAGTACATGGAATGCCTGATAGTAAAAGATAACAGCTGGTGTGTCAAAATAGAAACTACTCATGTTTATAATTTATAATACACACACATGTGGCAAGATTCGAACTTTGCAATGCTTGGAATATAATTACTCCTTCTGTTCCTAAATGTAAGTCTTTTTAGAGATTCCAATAAGGGACTACATACGGAGCAAAATGAGTGAATCTACGCTGTAAAATATGTCTATATACATCCGTATGTAGTTTGTATTGAAATCTCTAAAAAGACTTGTATTTAGGAACGGAGTAGTTACCCATTAAATTCATGCTTGGAAGTACATTCATTTATTAATGATTTTCTAATTATCAATATATATCACAAAAGGAATTAACAGACAAAGTTCAATCTACGTGATCATGCCAGGTTAAATCACGCCCTACAAAAATAAACTGAGGGGATACTGAACAACTGACAAAAGAACTAGGAGTATGCCTCTTACCAAGCGCTTCAATAAGCATATCTGGCTTTAAAGTCTTCAACCTCTGTACTGTTTCAGCAAAATGGCCGCTCCCCTGATCAGGTAAATCATCCCGGTCCACACTTGTGATGACTATATATTCAAGGCCCCACGATGCAATAGCTTGCGCAACATTGGCAGGCTCATTAGGATCTGGTGGAGGAGGGGTTCGTGATGTCTTGACATTGCAAAATCTGCAAATTATCGACTTCTCAAATTCTAACAATATGTCATCTCTAAAAGGTGAGTCTTAACTAATACAATGGTAGAGTGCGATATGAGCAAAGAACTGGAATAAAGTGTCGAACAAAACAATAATAAATCACTTCTGTACCTGGCAGGACCACGTAAATATGAGGACACAGCTAAAAGAAATATGTTGCAACAACAACAACAGCTACTACTACTACTACTACTACTAGTAGTAGTCTACTACTACTAAGCCTTTAGTTCCAAGCAAGTTGGGGTAGGCTAGAGCTGAAACCCATAAGATCTCAAAACCAGCTCATGGTTCTGGCACGTGGATAGCTAACTTCCACGCGCGCTTGTCCATGGCTAGTTCTTTGGTGATATTCCAGCCCTTCAGATCTCTCTTTACGGACTCCTCCCATGTCAAGTTTGGTCTACCCCGACCTCTCTTGACATTATCAGCACACTTTAACCGTTGGCTATGCACCTGTGTTGTATATGTCCAAATCATCTTAGGCGATGTTGGACAAGCTTCTCTTCAATCGATGCTACCCCAACTCACTCATGTATATCATCATTCCGGACCCGGTCCTTTCCTGTTTGGCCAGACATCCATCTCAACATGCGTACCTCCACTACACCTAATTGTTGAACATGTCGCCTTCTAGTCGGCCAACACTCAGCGCCATACAACATTGCAGGTCGAATCGCGTCCTATAGAACCTGCCTTTTAGCTTTTGTTGCACTCGTCACAGAGAACGCCAGAAGCTTGGCGCCACTTCATCCATCCGGCTTTGATTTGAGGGCTCACATCTTCATCGATATTACCATCCATCTGCAGCATTGACCCCAAATATCGAAAGGTGTCCTTCTGAGGTACAACCTGCCCATCAAGGCTAACCTCCTCCTCTTCGTGCCTAGTACTGAAACCGCACCTCATGTACTCAGTTTTCGTTCTACTAAGCCACCACTAAAACGAATATGTTGCCAAAACAACAACAAAAAGCAGCAGTTCCCCTGAAATGTACACCACAGGAACAATCCATTCTTATATCTGAAATTGGTACTCAAAGGAGACTCCAACAGAACTGGTTCGTAGGTTTGTCCACAGCCTACACGACCAAAACCTTCACCGTTTTCAACATGGATTGCATACTTAATAGCACTTAATCCAGACAATAGAAGAAGAAAAGCTTTCTCCACTATTAATTTAGCATAAAATCAAGCATGGCACATCGTTATAAAGAAAGCTAATCATTACATAGCACATAAACATTGAGAAGCCACACAAGGCCCTAAGAATACAGAGTGAAACAAACACTTAATTATGAGCACACCCATGACAATTGGCAATAGAATGAGAATTTTGTTTGGGATCCAAACAATTCTGAAGAAGAAACTAGCTTGAAGGATTTCAAAACTCAAGCCAAGTGCAAAAAAGCACGTAATTTTCTACCCAAGACAGGACACATAAGAATGCTCCGGGTAAGCAGAAGATATAACAATGCATTTAACGCTACTACCAGAGTACAAATTCAAAGTAAGAAATAAATGTTACTAAGGTCCTCCCCAACTACTGCAGATTTTTAATGGTACGATGAACATCAAATAGTTGCTTAATTTTTCAAAGTCCCTCTCCTTGCTGCAAGCTCTCTGTAATAACTGGTTTGCGGTATGATACAGGCTGAACGAATTCCATCGTGGTCCTTTCTCAACAAATTTCAAGACCAATGCTGGCGAGGGGAACTAGTGGGATTTTGTAGGCTGTCAGAACAGGTCAGCACGCCTCCTGCTCGCCTATTGCAACTCTAGTAATATCTGTAGAAACTCCCCGGCAGTGCAAGCATAATTGTGGGAAGGACGGACTAGCCGAATCCAAAACCTTCATTTGTCTCATATAAAAGAAAATAGCAACTTCTACTGGAGCTGGTCTTCGGTTGTGTACTCGGGCAAGTCTAGTTGGTTAAAGCAAGTATAACACGTGAAGTTCGCCATTTTCAAAAGCTATTTATACATTGATTAAGTTTAAAAGCTATGAATTCCAACTCAATCTTCAGATTGCAATTGAACTAACCCGTTTCTGAGTACAGTTCTCTATAGAATTGCTTCACAGTAAGCATCTACTCTTGCACACAGCTAAAATCGGATGCTTCTTAAATTACTAGCAGCATTAAAACATCCACATGATCTAGCAAAGGCAACTTAAATAGACTATAAGCTACAAAATCACACTATTTGCCCTCACAATCTCACTGCTCATACAAAACTATGCACATGCAAAAATCATGGAAATGACACCATATGGATCATCTAAACTAAAAGCCTATGCTTCTCCTAAAATACAAGGTTATCTAGGGCTTCCCTGTACACAGGCTAAACAACCTAAGCAGCTGTCCGCACTGCCCAATACAGGCCATAGACGAAAAGGACTGATCTCTTTACCTGCATCCACGCGTGCAGGTGTCACCGAGGATCATGATGGTGGCAGTGGCGGTGCCGGTCTCGCCGCCCGACCAGCACTCGCCGAGGTTGGGGCAGCGCGCCTCCTCGCAGACAGTGTGCAGCTTCAGCTCCCGCAGCTTGGCCTTGATGGCCGCGTACTTGGCCCCGCCGGGGATCGTCTCCTTCATCCACTTGGGCTTGGGCAGCGGCTTCTTCCGCGTCCCCACCTCCACCGAGTACGCGAAGTCCCCCAGCGACGGCGTCTCCGCCTGCAGCCGCCTCCGCATCTCCGCGAGCCGCCCCGCCGCGGGCGCGGCGAGGGGAGGGGACTGCGGGGTCGGGTCGAGGGTTTGGAGGAGGGACGGGGTGGAGGAGATGGAGCGGGAGGGGGCCTGGGACAGGGCTCTCGCCAGGGAGGCCGCCAGATGGCGGCGGCCGTGCATGGTTGCGGCCTGGAGGCGGTTGGTGGACCGGACCGGGGACGGGAGAGGTGGGGAAGACGGTGGCGTTTGTTTGGTGCGGAGAGATCCGATGAAGCGTAGATATCCAGAAGCCGCCTTCTGTAGCAAAGGGCGCCTTCTCATAATGGAGAACTAGAGCATTGTTGACGTTGTTGCGCCCATTTTATCTCAATAGTTTAGTAGTTAAGGATAGAAAGAAATATATATCCATTTATTTAGTATAATGCATTTTCTCACATCATTTTGCAATTTAAGTGATATGTTTCCATCTTTATTGATGTGGTATTGGTTTCTAAAACAAAGATACACCAAATAGAATGAGAACTGAAAACTAAGGTCATATATAATGTTTTTCATAGTTTCTTAGCATCGATTATTTGTCCAAGATTTCTATGAGGAGCGCACTGTTACGCCCGTCCATTTATTTGATGGAATAATATAATGTTTTGTAAATATACATATGCAAGAAAATGAAATTAATTCTGGATAACTTATCTATATAATGATTAATAGTAAAAACAGATTAGGAAGGTAAAAGATTCCTTCTCAAAACATGCAACACTTCTTATTTTCAAAATTGATAAACATGTAAGGTTACTGATAATCACACAACAAAGATCTTATCGAAACCATACAACCAAACACGAAACAAACAAATATTACTGATCTTTCCAACAACAAAGATCTTATCGAAACCATACAACCAAACACAAAACAAACAAATATTACTGACCTTTCCAACAAAAGAGGTGATCAACTTTCTCCTTTGCGGTAACAATAATCTTTAGTACACACCACTTGTTTATTGAAATACCACACATAACTACACATCACAGGAATTTATGGGGGGACTTCATGTGGCCATTCAGATAACTGTAAAACTAAATGCATAATGCAAACAGTAAGCACCCATTAAGCGTGTACTAATACCTAAGCATGCTAAAACGAGAATGATTCGAGTTGACGAAAACACACTTAGCTATGACTGAATCCAAGACTTCAATTATAAATATACTTCTAAGGTAGAAGTTCAAGGAACCTGCACATTTTACTGAAAATTATATTGAACGATGATAGACATGAAGGCTCATTCAAGTTGAACAAAACAAAGTTTAACTATGACTCTATCCAAGGCTTCAATTCTGATTATGTACTAAAGTTGAAGTTGAAGAAACCTGCTTCAACAGTACCATGCACGGTAACATTTTTACCTAAAATTATATTGAACCTCATCTCCCATCCAGGGGTCACCAAAAACTCTTTACTACCCCTAGATTTTTTCACACCAAGGTAGAATGGAGGTTTATAATCCGCGTCAAGTGAGAATCACCAATCCCGTGTTCTGCTTGCAATATGTCTTGCTACTCAAAGGCTTCATTTTCATCTTTTTGTGACAATACCATATAAACATATTCACTTGGCTGAATTTCTGTAACCATAACTAGAAGTTTTTAAATATGAGAAGGGCATGGTTTAACTAAGAAGAGGTTCAGATGTTACCTTTTTAAGGATCCTACGTTCAAATACCGTCCAAGCTAGCAGTTGGAATGAACAGGATTGAGAGTCGCATAAATAGCTGATCTACAACACTATTTGCATAAAAAAGAGGAAGACAAGGAACAAAATATTGGCAGCTGAGAACCCATAGACGATAAAAGAAAATTTGTACCTTTTGATTTAGCAGTACCACTTCTATGCATTAAGCAATAACAAATGATTATATTCTTCAGTCAAGTGACTGTATGTTCACAGGCATCGCATAATTCATCATTATAAAAGCTTATCAGATTCCATCAAATCTCTTGACAGTTAAATTATATTGATTACGCCTGTAATGGACCAGCTCATACAAGTAACTAACAAACCACGGGTCCAATCTAATTTAGTTAGTCCTTGATTAGTTAGTCCTTGATTCAGTAGAAAAAATTAGCTTACTCCATTACCTAATCGGCGCCTGCACTGTGATCTGAACACAGCAGAGAAGAGGCACCTCCTTCCCATATATCCCCACGCACGCCAAGAGAATGCAGAGGGACCCGGCTGCCTCTAGTCCTTGCACTGCCCATCGGCCCATCCTACCTCCTCTACCTTTTTGACAGTCCATCACTGTCGCCCCTGACACATCTCAAAAGAGCCCCGCCTTCAACGGGTATTCCGCTATGGATTTCGCATGTATCAACAAACAATACCATGGCATTCAGCCATGAACGATACATAAACGTAATCTAAGCAATCATACGTCTACAGGAATGGTAAAAATCATGAAAAGATGAGGTATGGCTGTCCACGTGAAGTACTTACCTGGCCATCACACATTGAAGATTGAGTGAAGGAATTATCCAATCTAAATAGTCTCCAAGTTTTGCCCCAAGTTGACCATAACTGGGATGAGAACCGCCTGTACAAAATTGGGATTGAGAAGATATTAACAAAATGTAATGGTTGGGTGAAAGAAGGATCGTAACAGGGAAGGAGAAAAATGCAGTTAGAGGGCAACTTTAACAAGGATCATCGGGGAGAGGCACAGGAGACGAAGTGGCGGATATACTGAAGCAGATGCGGCCGAGAAAAGTAAACGCAGACCTCTGTTTAATTTTCACCGGCGAGTGCGCACCTCAGCCGCGATGAATGCTCTTTGAAACTGACAATTGATTGCCTACTTGACTACTTCGACTCCAACGAATCAGTTTTTCTCCTTTGCTTCACCGAACAGTCCTCTGTCTTTTCGCCTCTACATGCATCAGTGTCCGGTCCAGATGGCTCGAACAAGGCGACCCTATGGTCTCGCTTGCGATGGGGAAGGCCGTGTGAGGTGTGACCGCATGGCCCGCGACGGCTTGCTTGTGTTGCCTCACCTCCGTATGGACCCGGTCATCCTCTCGCTGGATATGCCAACCAAGAGGACCGATCTTCAACCCGCACCCGGATGCATGCGTTACTGCTTGTACCGTCGCCAGGCGAGGCGCACCGTCTCGGTCGGACCCCAGCGTAGTCGCCATGGAAGTCACTCCTGAGCAGCAGCGGCGGCCGCCACCACGGGAGGGCTGCGTTCGTGCGGGCCAAAGGAGGGCCGCGTTTTTTTTTGAGTAATTAAAAGGAGCGCCGCGCGAGTCACGACTTCTTTGCACATGGACGGAGTTTTATAAGCCCATCGGCCCAATTTAACACAAGGGGTCCAAAATTGCCACCGGAGTAGCGGCCTATCATAGGTAGCCCTCAATGGTAGTGAACGAAGAGCCAACGTGGGATTGAGGGAAATTGGATGACCCAAATTGCCCCAAAGAGAAGATCCGATGGTTGCAAGTGCTAATGGCTTAGATGGCTGGAAAGGTGCGCGGTTATAATGTTTCTAAATTGTTCATATGTTGTTCTTTAAAAAATTGATCTATTCATTATCTGTAGAGAACATCAAAAGTAACAAAAGTTACAACCAGGCTCATGGACCATGTAGCAAAGACTGTAGGAAGTGCAACGAGTCAAAGGGACGCCATCGTCCCTCAATCCAGCAGAGCAAGACAGACTTTGGTTCAGAAAGTCTTTGTGCTAAGGCCCCACAGGATTAGTGCACCAGTACAACAACCATTGCCGATGATGAGAAGCGTAGGTTGAAATGATCAAACATGTAGACACACAACCGAAGACAAGATCCAAATAGATCCACCAAAGATCAGTACCGATGACAGAGACACACCACCACACATCCTCTGACGACGCTAGACGGGCCATCGGGGCATGGATCGAAAGTGGAAGACATTATTCCTACTAAGGACAATGTCACCGCCACACAACCTTAACCGCGACGTTAAACCAAACAAAGAAGGAGGTGGGGCCCCTCCCACCAGCAAGGAGCCGGGGTGCTCCACACCTCTACGTCTCAAAGTCCATTGAAGGTGATGGCGCGACGGGAGAAGGGAAACCCTAATCGCCTGGGAAGTCGCTTCTTGGGGAGGAGGGGGGAAATTATACTTGGTGATTCATAGTATTTATTTTCATAAGAATTTTGGAGATTGTATATATATTTTAAATCCTATATTGGTTGTTCTTTTGTAAGATTAAACCATATACAAAATTGAAGGAATTTCCCCGCAAAAAATTGAAGGATTTTTTAGGAGTGAAAAACTTGTATTACTCAAACCACAATTGTTCTTGGAAGACTTATTACGGACAACGTATTGGTGGCATACGAATGCTTCCACACCATCAAGAAAAAGAGAGCAGGCAAAGAAGGATTATGTGCGATAAAATTGGATATGCATAAAGCTTATGACCGGGTTGAATGGCCTTTTCTCAAGGAGATTATGCTCAAACTTGGATTTCGTGAGGTGTGGGTAAATTTTATTATGGAGTGTGTTTCTACTGTTGAATATCGTATTCGGTTTAATGCGGAGGAGAGTGAAAGTTTTAAACCTACTAGGGGTCTGAGGCAAGGAGACCCGCTGTCTCCTTACCTGTTCCTGTTATGCACGGAGGGTCTCACAGCTTTACTAACGCATGCGGAAGAAAATGGGAATATTTCAGGAGTAAAGGTTTGCAGAGATGCCCCATCTGTCACGAACCTTCTTTTTGCTGATGACTCTTTAATCCTTATGAAAGCAAATTTGCAAAGTGCGGAAACATTAAAATCAGTTCTAGATTCGTATTGCGCAGCTTCAGGGCAGATGGTCAGTGTCGACAAATCCAGCATCTTTTTTAGCCCTAATACGGGAGTGGACACTAGAGAACAAATGTGTACAGTTCTCAATATAATGACTGAGGCCTTGAATGACAAATATTTAGGACTGCCGGCCAATATGGGTTTAGATAAAACCGATTGTTTCCAATACTTAATTGATCGTATTGTTCAGAGAATTAGTGGCTGGAAGGAAAAACTTCTGTCGGCTCAAGGAAAGGAGATCTTACTTAAAGCGATTGTTCAAGCTATTCCCACCTATGCAATGTCGGTCTTTAAAATTCCTAAAAAAATTGCAAAGGAATTATTGACGCGATGGCGCATTTCTGGTGGGGAGATGAGGACAACCAAAGGAGGATGCATTGGATGGCTTGGTGAAAACTGTGTGTACCCAAGAACCAAGGAGGAATGGGTTTTCGGGATATCCATTGTTTCAATTTGGCTATGCTTGCTA